TTATCTGAAAATATTGCTTCTTCGCTTTATCCCACTGGCTCCCGTCCTGGTATGTTATACGGGCTTTCCCAAAATTCATAAAACAGGTTCCCCCCTCCGACCCATTTTTTCTACTATAGGCACACCTGGTTACAAACTTGCTAAATTCCTTGTACCTATACTTCAGCCACTCACTTATAATATTGTTTTTCTAGATTATGAATTGATTTCTAACGCTATTGTTGTGACGTTTTTTTTTTCGTTGGGCGGGTCTTTTTAACATTTTTGGTGAAAATAATCCGAAGTCCAATCCACATAACAATAACAAATTATATAATTGATACTTGAAACCGTCAGTACTTGGTGAAACCCTATAACTACAGAATTGAAGAGAAAAAAAATTCAAAGACAGTTGTACGTTTCACAAAGACTTCATTCATTCACGACATTGGCTTCGCTAGTAAAGACATCATTAGTACCTGATAATGCCTTTATTGACGAAACCATGTTCGTAAATAAATGAAGTCCTTATGAAACGTACAGTTATCTTTGTTTTTCTTGAATTCTGTAATAACAAATTACTTTATTTTTTCTTTCATATTACTACAAACTGTCTTCACTTGTACACTGTTGTAACTTGTAAACTTAATTTTACAAATAAGGTTCAAACGGAAATAGATGCTAATGAATAATGAAAAATAAACTAACGTGCATATATCACGGATGATCAATCAAGTAACTGAATATACGCTATAATTAACACAATTCCAAATACTTCACAAAGTGAAGGACACTATACCAACTGAAGCCAAAATTTCCTGACTCAATGCTTCACTGATCCTCATATTTATAATTTAGCCTAGTTTCTTGGTACTTCGCAAACTAACTGTATTTTCGTAACATCATCAAGAACATTGTTCGTCATACTCCCACTAACTTACTTGATCTTAACGACATGCGTGCGCCCTCATACCTACATCGAAGTTAAGACATTAAAAATATAGTCCACAACATCTTTAATTTCATCTCATTTGGTTTAAGAATCATGGTTAAACTGAGTGATACTTTTTGCCATCTATGAGAGGCCATTTTATTCATACCACCGTACTCAGTAATATTCCTGATGACCACATAAACTAGACTCAGATAAACTTTTATCTACATAAGTTTTTGTCAGATTTGTTTGTAGTTAAGCACAACGGTCTATTTGTGCTCTGTCTTACATGGGTATCGAAATCCGGTTTATAGCGTTTAAGTTCGCAGGCATAACATTATACCACTGGAGGGCTATTTACGTAAGAAAAAATAAAAATAGATTAAATTTTATTTATATAATAAAAGGGCCAAGCTTGTCTCCGTAGTTACCATGCCAGACTGTGGTTCAGAGGTTCGTGCCCTTTTACCATCCAAAAAAATTTGCACTTTGAGCTGTGGGTGTGTTATAAGAGTGACAGACAAGTTCCACTACTTGATTAGAACAGCCCATGAGTTGGTAGTGTTGACTAGCCATTTTTCCATTAGTCTTTCATTTTAAAGAAGAGCAGCATAGATGGCAGTGGTGTTGCTAGGCGCTGGCATACAGAATTCGTGCCCCAAATCCCCAGTTGGTGTTTTGAAAAATCATAATATTTTACCACGATCGATATCATACTGAAATGCCGAAAATTCCTGCGACTATGGGCCCGAATCTTTTAAGCAACTAGCGACGTCTGTGGTATATAACACAATTGTGTAGCTTTAGGCTTCACTGCTAGCAAAGATAGCATTTGAGTAGCTTTGCACGAAATTCAACAAACAACACAAGTAAAATGAATATTCTGTTTTTAGTGTAATTGCATAGTGTATTTTTGTGTTGATCGTCTAGTGGATTTACTTAGTGTTTGAGATCTGCAAAATGTTTAGTAATCAGAAAATAAATAAACTGATTACTAACCTTTTAGACCTACAAGTATTGTTTATTTACAGATGTATTTTAATAGTTAAAAAAAAAAAGAGCTCAATGTACTTGGAATTTACATTTTAGTAAAGAGTTAAAGTCCCTTAATGACATGTCTGCAAAAGTAGAATCTGTGAAACAGGATATTTTGCAGTGGACCCTAAATTCATGTTATCAAGAAGCCCAGAAGTTAAAATGATGGAGAATGTTGAAAACATTAATTTTTCAGTTGTAGATCATAGATTCATAAATGTCAGTTTTCTTGACATATCCTTTAATATTCTTAGGTTGTAGTGGGATTGCTAATGTATTTATAACACTGATTGTCCAATTTATTAGAGCTTGCTCCTCAAAGAAATCCTGATTAACAGCCCATTTACTTCCACTTGAAAACTACAATAATAAACACATCAAAGACGTGTTAGGTGGTTGTTTGAGCCTTATAAGTGCAGATATGCAATCATATTATGGTTAGTTGTGAAGATAATGGGTAAGAACAAAGATCTGTCAGATTTTTGAAATGGTATAATATCTGGTGCCAATCTAGCAAGAGCATTATTATTAAAGATGACTTATTTTACTGGACAAGTGCCATCAAAGTCTATTAACAGAAGAAAACTAAAAGGAATTTGTGTGCCACTAAGAAAACTTGGGACTACCAACTGCTTGTAACAGATCAAGAAAAGTACAAAAAAGGCTTAACAAGCTTTTAAGTCGTAAGAGGTGGCAGACAGAAATTGACAACCTCAAACTGAAAAATGCAAAGTACATTAAAATAATGGTCATAAAGCACCAACAACAAATCCAAAAACAGCTTATTCCACATACAAGTGGGAAAGCACAACTGCTTTGGTGGTTAGAGTACAAACTGTAGACATGAATGACTGAAATTATGTGATGCAGTAAGATAAACTGTGTTTCACCCTTTTTCTGTACTTATGATTAACTATGGAAGATACAGTCATTTTGACAGTGCAAGTTTCAGGAGGTAGTGTAATGATATGAAATATTTCCTTGTTGCACAAGGTTGAGTACTTTGAATATGCAACGAGATCCATGAAATTGTTATACTTTTTCAGTATGTATGATAAAGTAAAAATATGGAGAATATAAAAATACGTGACCCTGCTGAAGGTTGTGTAATGGTGTGAAAATGTCCTCATGGCATGAAACCTGGGTCCTTCAATTCACTTACAAGGGCAAAAAAACATCTTGAGCATTATAGGCAGTCGAGTTCACCTCACAATGCTGTATTTTTACCCTGATGGACAAAGGCCTCTTTGAAGACAATATTACAACAATCCACCAAACTCCTATTATTCAAATTTGGTTCAATGGGCACGATAATGAAACCAATAATCTTTCTTGTTCAGCATAACCATTGTATGTCAATCTGATTGAGCATATTTGGAATATAATTAAATTTTGTATTTGCTACTATAATTCCCTGCTAGCATATGTGAACCAATAGAGTCAATCCTCATAAGTAAGTGGGCAAAATGGGGGGGGGGGGTGGTTCTAGTAAAGAATATACTATAGGAAGTAGAAAAAAGTGAGGACCTATTGATTTTGCAAAATCAGTTTCAATTCTTAAATTTGAGCCTCCAATAATTAATATTCAGAAACATTTGTAGCAGCTTATGATGTTTACCATGTACCACATGAAAAAGATTAGTAAACATTATATGGTAACCACTACTTTTACATATTCACTAAAAGGTTTGTCAATTTCCTTCAAAATTTATAAGATTGAGTTCAGTTACATCATTGTACTTTCACTGGACAGTTTGATAAGAGAATACTTTTGTGCCAGTTAAAAACATTTCATTTTGTCATATTGTTGAGTATTATTACAGAAAATGTAATAGAAATCACTGGAAATAATTGTTGTTTAACAAGAGGCAAACAAATTTACTCTTTCATCTGGAAATGAAAAAAAATCCCTTAACAAAAGACCATTACTGCACACAGAATCTGTAAACATCATAGATAGTGATATCTAAAAGGCTTTTAATATGTATCAGTTTCTTTTTAAACTATTATGATTTAGTGCTCAAGAATTAATGTAGATAGTAATTTTGTGGACAGCAGAGAAATGTTGGGTAATAATAGCTTTCAAGTTTTTCAAGCATTAATATACATTACAACGATACCAATAAAAATACAGAAAACTGGTAGAGAGATTGTGCTTCAACACAATTTAAACAGCATGTATTACATGTCTGATATTCAATTTACTGTTACTTTTTCTTATTTACCTTGCAAAACTGTTAGTTATATCATGAATTCACAGGATGGGGTAATTCCTCAGTCAAGTTGACATTCACCTGATTTTATGAGAAGCACAGTTTGATTGAAAGAAACATTTTAAAGTACAGTTTTATTAAATTTTTGTTTGTAATACTGACACATAACTTCCTAGTTTAACACGTTCTGTATATTAACAGCCATGTAAAACTGTTACTATCTTTCTCATCAATTTTATTTTATATATCATTAAGAATACACCTGTCAATAAAGACAAGCTACACTTAGGAAAACAAGGCTGGTCGATAAACAATTTATTGTGTAGTTACTTTAATCAAACTATGAATGATATTTCTACAGGCTTTAATTCACATCTCAATAGAACATTGTTATACATAGTAGTATCTTTCAACTTTACAGTTGTCATTTCTTCATAGATTAGTCTTAAATATTTAATTAGTACATCTATAAAACAACACAAATAAAACTTTTTTCCATCCATTATTAACCCTCTCAATACAAATAGGTAAAAGTGTGCATGTCACAACATTTTGAGAGTTGCATTCAAAACTTAATTAAAGCTACTTAAAGTGTATCAATAAACTTGGCATCAAAATGTAGTTAATAAATCAAATTTTAGTACAAGATTTATTAATTTTAAAACAAAATATTTAAATAAATTCTCAATCTTAACTTCTATGTATCAAATGACATTTGTTCATTCCAAATTGCTCGTGTCACCATTCCTTCCACCCCCATTTGAACTTCTGACTTTTAATACAAATTATAAAGTTATATTATCGATGTTTCTGAGTCACATTTTAAATTTATAGCCACCATTCATTTTGATTTACAGATTTAAAAAACAGAAAGTCAAGCCAACATATCTCTTCTTACTAGTGTCCTTCAAAAAATGTCAATAACTTTCTCTGATATTTACTATTACATTATTTATAACCAATAAAAAGATAATATTTTATTTTACTGAATGGCATATATGCTAGCTCATTCTGACAACAGCTTTTGAAGTAACATACCTACAGGTTCAAAGTTGCTATCGCGGAGTTCACCTTAAACTTAATAAGGGAATTATTTTAACACTCTTATACCTTAGTTAGATACATGTTTTGTTTGTTTGTTTTAGAGCAAAGCCACATTGGGCTATCTGTTGTGTCCACTGTAGGAATTGAACCCCAATTTTAGTGTTGTAAGTTTGTAAACTTACCACTGTCCCACTAGGGGATGCTTTAGTTAGAAAGCCAAAGAAATTATAATAGTTATAGGATGTTGTATTCTTTGTGTGTTTTATTACTTTATGTTCTAAACTGAACACTTGAAATACAATATAAATTCAGTAAATTACTAACAACACACAACCAAAAATTAGGGTTAACTTTTACCAAGACCAAGTAAAAAAAGTACAAGACCCACACTAAGTACTAAATTTCTCCTTTTTTCTGTAAAATTTTTATTAATTATTATAAAAGTAAATAAAATGTAAAAATTAGAAAGTTATTAGGTTAGATAAGAAAAAATAAATTAAAAAGAAAATCAAACAAAAAATTTCTCAGTGAGGTATGTACATGAGCTACACATGTACTAGGTAATTCAACATTTTGTTTACTGTAACTTCAGCTACATGGTCACCAGCTGATTTGTTGTTTTGTTATGTAGGCTTATTAGTTAGACATGGTTCAAAGAGCAATAAAACAATGAATTTAAAAGAAAACAGATGTAAACTGTTACAAGTGTGAGGCTCTTTAGGATAAATAACTGTAATGTTTTGTTACAATCTGCAATCATTATTTAGAGAAAAAGGGCAACTTAGATCTATTTTGTATTATTGTTTGTGGTGGTTACAACATCAGTCAAATGGACAAAGCCTGTAAAATGTCAGGGTAGAGAAAATAACAGAAAAAATATAAAGTTTCAATCAAAAAACTTTTGATATTCTTTCAGGAAGTTCTGGGAGTTAAGTAAATGAACTATGAAAACTGTAAGGTGAAAATAATTATTTTTAAGCTTAACATGAATATCACCTTGAACTCAGACTAGTCAGAGTTTGATTCACACTCTGACTTCATATATTAACAGACAAATCTTTAGTAAAAATACATAATTTAAAAAATCCAATTTTTTTGTATACAAGACTTGTAATGTTTATTAAAAGCTTGCCAAATTCCCTGAAGGTACACTTACTACATTGAAAGTTATAGTATGTATACTTTTATGGTTAACTGCTGGTTATAAGGTTGGTAAAATGGTCAAGTCCATATAGAGAGGATTAAAGAATTTATTTATTTTACAGCTCATTTATGGGTTCAGCATATAGGCAAAATGTTTCTCCCCCTTCAAAAACAAAACAAAAAACTCTGGTGGCCTGGTGCCACTTTCTGTAATCACATCACTTGAAGTGGCTTTCATGATACCTGGACATACTAGTTACACCTCACCACCACCTGGACCTGCCAGTACAGCTCATCATCATTAGTCAGACAGTCAACAAGAAAAAAATTACAGTTCTTACAATAAAGTCCAAAACTACATACTACTACACAATTACATTTTATACTTTTTAAGGTATGATGATGTTAGAGCAATAACTTCTCATGAGAAGTACTAGTTTCTAGTACTTTTACTCATATTCTTTTGGAAAATTCTTTAGTATATTCAATGAGAAGTAAAGGAAATATACACACATTTTTCTAAATGAGTTCCATTTATTTCAGTAACAAAGTCAAAATGGTCTGTATTAAATGAAAAAAAAAAAGAATTGATTAATCAGCTTGCAGTGTTTACTACTGAAACTAGAACTGACCAGTTACTGTTTAAAACAGTGGGAGGGATCACAATGCAGTGTAAAACAGTTAAAAGGCAATGAACTATCTAAACAAAGGCAGCACAGTAGTGTTGAATAAAAGAGTAGATCAAATGGTTGATTATCAGAAGGGTCGCTGGAAGGGAACTAAGGTCCAACAATTGTTTTGTGGCTTCTTTTGTGTTACAACTATGAACTTCTAAATAAGAACATGGTTGAAATCCAGTTCTGTCACTGTTTAATTTATATGATGCAGTCTGCAACTCTTACAAACATTTTAACAGTATTCTTGAAATAAAATAATCTACTTACATTCTTACACCACACAAAACAAATGTTTCATCACATACAATAGCATTTTTTAAACTAAATATGGAATAATACCTTAAGACACATAATTATATGTATAATATATATGATAATTACATAATGCAAAACCACATCATTTACAACATAGCATAAAATTAAACCTTCTAAATTTCCAGGACTTTAGAACAAGATATCTTCATCGTGTTCATCCTCTAACATATTGGGTGTTTCGTCCATAGCAACACCTTTAGCCCGAAGAGCTGCTTTTTCTTTTTCTGCTCTGACTTTGTCCTTCTTTTTCTTTTCTTGTACTTTCTTTAACCTTTATGATAAAAATCAAATTACTAGTATTTGTATTATATTAAATTTGGCAGATTCTATTACCGTATGATTTTAAATGTCCCAGTTTTCACAGCAAAAATTTTTACAGAAATCAATAAAAAAATAACTTTTGGTGCCATCCAATTAGAATAAACTGAGGAGAGATTTAGCATTCAAAATTTATCTTTAACTACTAAACAGGTAAGTGGTACAAAAATAAAACATAATTACATGTTAGAACTTCTATACTTTTCAAAAACCACAAAAGTAAAACTCATCACTTACCTGAAAAATTCTTCACGTTCTCGTTCATCCAACTCTGATGTTATGTAGGATAATGTGTTTTCAATTTTAGGAATAATCACTAACAAAAGAAAGCAAGTCAAAATAACCTTAGAACATAAATAAATCACGAGGTTTCTTTTATAAAGCATTTCATTTGTAATACATACCAAGGTTAAAATCTGTCCAATTAAACACCAATCCACACCTTTATATGATTAAAATTGATTAATATATATATATATATATTCACATGCGCGTCTGTGATAAAATGGAGACATTTCAGTGTATTTGCTAACATATTTATGTTCAGAATCAAAACATTTAAATCTATTTTATATAATAAAGTTTAACATTGAAGTATACCACTGAATTTGCCCAGTAAACCTATCAATGCATGAAATTTGATCAATTCAGGTATGGTTCTTGTAATATCTATTTTATTAACACATGTTCATTTCAATCACCACATAGCTGTAACACTATACCTACTATAACTCTGAAGGCACTAAATGCATATTCATGAAATTTGAGAAGCTTTTAGTAAACATTACAAGTCTGTTGTACAAGAAAAAGTTACTTTTCTTTTATCAAATATTTGTATGTGTATATACAAAGCTTTTTACTGAATCAATCCGAGTAAAAATGACTCATGCTTAGAATAAAAATACCTCTTTTCATCTTATATTTCATTTCCATATCCTCTAAAATTCCAAATTAATATTAAAAGTATTTTAAGTAAAACTTTATATGTTATCTCTTATTTTCTCTATCCTAATACTAACTGTAAAAAAAAATCTTCAATGTATAGTGAAATGAGAGTTGAAAAATATTAAATAAGATGAATGATACCATTTTTTTTTTTAGATTACCTGCAGATTTTAACAGATATCTAATACTAGAAATAAACAACTTCCAAATCATTTGATGTTTCATAATGTCAGTTAGTTTGTGTTTTAGTGGAATGATCCTGAAGAAGCTGAGTTGCCAATTAAAGAAAAATAACACATTTTGGTTTTAAGGTCATTTACTTCTAGTATTAAAATGTCTTTTATACACCAATGTGCACAACAGAAATTTAACAATGAATTTTCACATCTACTTTCTTTTAATTTTATGGTTTCATTGCAGCACTTTCGACCAACTACTAAGCATGAAAAGCAAAACCTTAAAGCACAAGCCAATTAGCTGTTTACCACAGAGCTAATGTACACAAAGGATCAAGTTAAGGTTATCCATACCATGAGCTCAGAACCGTGTTCACTATTTGATGAGCTTTTGAAAGTGTCTAATTTTAGTTACTAATGTTGAACAATAAATAGCAATAAATAAAAAAACTATGTTTAGTACTACTCGAAGTAGTTTTTGTGCAATTGAGTAATGTTATTGACTAACTCTCACTGTTTTTCACTAATTAGATATCCAAAAAAGAATTAATGTAGCTTTCAAATATGTATTTTAGAACATAAAATATATATCAGTCACAAGAGCGTAATATTCTAAAACTATTATAATTTATCCAGCTTTCTATGTAAGCTAAAAAACGTTAAATAATTCATTTAGATGTTTGGAGTAGCATCATGATATTAATGGTACAAGAAAAATTTACTGAATGAATAATCTGGGTGGGAGAATTCTGACGATAAGAGATGAATTCACATAGAGGAGAATATGTTATTTCTATTTGTTATAAAGAAGCCCATCAGCCATGCAAGGTTGGTTAGAAAGGTACCTCAAAAGTGAAAGAGATAGGGAAGGGTTTCTCTGGTGAGTTTGATAAATTTATTAATATATCTCAGCAAATTAGGAAGGTAGGAGGTTAAAATTTTATATTATAGCTTGTAATTATGTAAAGTTTGTATTTCTTATTGGTTCTAAACAGTAGATGCCTATTGCTTAACTTATAAATTCCCGAAGTTGAAAAACTGGAGCTCAAACATGTCACATGACAGAAAAATTAAGATGAGAATTATGAAGTTAAAACCAAGATAACATAAAAAATTTGAATTATGAGTTACATTTTCTTGCTAAGTTTGTTGATATAAAATAATATTAAAGTTGTTTAATTAAATTTTGAATATAACACTAAAAAGGTTGTGACTTGCGCAAAACAGTCAGGTTCGAAAGTACTGGGTTAAATCATACTTTTCACAATGCTGGAAGAGCCTTATTGTACGATATACGAGAAACATGTCTTATCACTTCAGAATTAAGATCAGAAGTATTTATTTTACTTCACTTGAGCAGGAATAAAGATATATTCTTCTATATAACATATAAGAAATTGAGTTAAACTCACCATGTTCAATAGCATTTACCCTACGATTTGTAATCTTGATAACTTCATCAAGAGTAACAAAGGATGTTTGGAGAGAAGCTAACTCAACCAGCAACTGCACAGCCTTGGCATAGTTTTTCTTCAACTTTGAAAGCTGCTGCCCTCCTCGAGCAAGACCTGCTAGCTCGTAAGCTACCAAAGAATTCAGGAGTTTCAGACAGCAGTATTAGAATTAAAGTTTATCTGAGATGTTTTTAACACAAAAGTAACCTTACACATTGTATTCATAATTGTTACACTTTTTTTAAGACAACTAAAAAAATCAAATGATGACCATAAAAATCCAAATATGTAAAAGGCTTATAATGATCCCTAATACAAAAATTATATTAATATAGGATCACTGTGTGAATAAAAGACATTTAAAAACACCATTGAATCACAAACTGTAATATATTCTTACAATAATAATTTATGAAAGCATTAAACTGTCAAACTAAATAACAGTTAATCATGAATAACGTAATGTACAAATAAAGTATAACACACCAAGATTTTCCTAATAACAGTTATAAAACTTTAATATTAACAACTCAGAGTCATCCAATTAAGAGCTTAAGGTGGTTTCTTAATAGTGAACTGTCATTTCTTCAGAAATGTATAATGGTAAAGTAGAAGTTTTGTACTTACTGTCAGCTCCATCCTGATAACTCTCAAAAACTGGGAGGTTTGTTCCTGCAAGAACAGAGAAAAATGATCAGAAACTTACTTACATTTTATTAATAAATAAAATATGCTGATGTTCTTACAAACATTCTAAATTTTCAGACAGAATTTGTTTCAACTTAATGAAAGTCTGCAATTTTTACAACTGACAAAAGGCTAAAAAAATTTCTTTTCTAATATCAATTTAAAAAATAGATTTAGAAACAAATATTGAGAAATTGGAAACAATGTTAGTAATTTAAGGTAGTAAAATAGGGTCTAGCAGGATACCAAGGAACTTCATGATTTAAACTTCTCTTTTATTTAATGCTTTTGCTAATGTTACTTACTGCTGCCACTATCTTATTGTTAAGACCAACAAAATAATCTGTATAATAATATACAATACGTAATACTGAACCTGCAACATTTTCTTTCTTGCTTCGAACTTTTATTTGAGCTTTGGTTACATTCTGTAGAACAACATGATTAAAGTCACCAGTTGTAAACTTTGCTTCAGCAAGTGAAAAAGCAGCTTCTTTCATCACCTCTCCCATCAAAGTTTTTGTCTAGAAATGTATATATTACATTAAACCTTATTGAAATACGTGTATAAATCAACAAAAAATAACATATATACTGATCCACAACAATACATGTAACCACAAGCATGGGCAAGTGTGTGTGTGTTGGAGGAGGAACAAACAACAACAACATTTAAATAAATAATGTTAGACTTCATAATTTTGGATGTTGCATGTTAAACAAATGTACAAACGATATCAGGTTGGTTTCTGGACAGTTTTAGATGCAACCTTATGATTATACTTTGTTTTTTTTTATTAGGAGGGGGAAATTGCACCATACAATATATAATTTCAAGATCAATATCACAATAATTCTAAGTTGTTATTTCAAATACAAAACTTAAGTGAAGTTGTAAGTACCAAATTCTTTTTTAAGGTGTACTTTGCATACATTTAGCATTATATCTCAAAAAGTTTAAAAGCATATATATATATTTTAATGCAATACACACAAAAATAATACATTGGTTTTAACACATTTCTAATACATAGTTTTAGGCATTTTTCTCCCATTACTTACCCCTCATAAAACTTGTGTCGATACATGAAGGTTCTTCTTGAATAAAACTAAAAATCAGCTCTGGTCTGTTATATGCTTACTACATAGCCTGACAATAAGTAAAAGTCTACTAATACAATGAAAGACTATCAATAAGTATTCTATCGCAGGAATTATTATTATTACCGAAATAGACTAACATAACAAAATAACTACTAATCAATGATAAAATCAAGATGTGACATTGAATGTGAAAGTTGACATTTGGTTCTAAAGCAAAACATTTTAGTGCAGTAGTATCAATATAACATTTTTTTGATGTACTGTTTAACAATGCATTGCAATTCTTAGTCTACCATTATAATTATGTTACCGTTATCTTAAAATAATGGTAATGTGGCAGTCTTTCAATGATAATAGTTCATATGCTCTCTAATAGGATTAATTCAGTTATTTTAAAAACTATTTCACACCTGCTTTCTTCTTAAGATTTTATTATACATAAATGCATTATAATACGTAATAGATCATCATTGCCTACTTACAAGCAAGGTAACACTGAGCTACGTGCAAGGAAATACATCACTAACATTGAATTTTCATTATTTAATAGTACCAACATATTGTATATTACATTAAAATGGCAGTCACTTACCAGATTTGTCTTACAAGAAATATATTATTTTGTGCTTTCCTCAGTTGTAGATCTAATTTCTTTTGGTAGAAAAATATCCAAGTATTTAAATACTGAATCTGTTTATACTACACAGTTCTTTAATGATACATCACTTGCAGGAAAAGATGTGATATGCATTGCAAAATTTTTTACCTCAATTATTTTCTGTAAAATACTTCTGAACCTCATCTGCAGAGCATCAGCTTTTTTCTTTAGAAGACTATGGCCTTTCTGTGCTCCTTTTAAGCGATTCTTCATAATTGCCATGGCCCTATAGTACAAAGAAAAACAAAATAGAGGAAGAGCAAAGCAATAAAAGTGAAATTATAACAAAAAAAAACAAACAGCAACAAATATAACATAATGAGTGGAATTTTTGTTATAAACTTTTCCAAAACAGATAGTTTTATTCTTTTAAAATAATACAGTTACATGAACACTGAAATTTTAAAAGTTTAAACAGATTTTTTATGATTTATTACCCCAATATTTAGAGTACTGACTTGATGAAAAGGTGAATTTTTAATGTTATATATCAGTGAGAATATTCTTATGCATCTCCATTTCCCAGCATATTTCTGCATTTTTTCATTTGCAGTTATAAAAATAAATAAAATGTCACTATTAGAACTGTAAAATTAATTCAATTATGTATGAGCATCAATTACATTACCACCAAAATGCTACAAGTAGCAGCTCCTGTACATTGGAGCAGATCCTTATGGGTTATATTTAATGAATGCATCACTTCAATAAAATATACTGAATGCCTAGTGTATCAAATGTAAAGGAATTTTTATGGTTGGATAAGTATGAAACATAATATATATGCTAACATCAGTAATTTTAATGTTGAAAAAGGCGAAACTCTACACTTCTCATCAACCCAAGTCATAAATCTAATTAATCTACAATGTTATCAAAAATAGCGACTGATAATATTACTCTCTTTTGTAATTGTTTATTACAGTTGAAGGTTTATATTTATTTTTCAATTAAATTATTAATTGTTACTCCATTCCATTTTGCTGTTTATTAAGTATGTTTAATTAATCAACAGTTTTATGCTAAAATCACTGGCTGTCGCTCTGCCTGTAATAGTGATTATTAATCTAAAAATATATTTTGCTTAAGTCAGCTTCAGCTCTTAATTGGCAGCAACAGGGTGCTCTTGCAATGCAACCTTACTGTATATAGTTATACGAGTACTGCACATAGCATCAATTACATCTACATAAACAATGTACAATTTCTATTCAAAATATAAAAACATTTTTACTGTTCTACATATTTCTATAAGTACAAGTGGATTTACATAGATTATGTGTTAAACTAAAAGGGTTTTCAACCAAATAGAAACTTGTAGTTGTAGTAACATCGTCAATACATTATGCAAACTAGTACTATCTAAGGTTCAAACCTTCATTTGGCAATGTGTTTCGAATCTATGAAAGTCAAAATCTAATCTTCATAACAACCCTATCAACTGCCCAGCTCTATTCACCATATCTAAATCATAAACAAATATTTCAAGAGGTAAAGTACATGAACTTCTGAATATCTATGAGCCTATTTTTTTTTTCATTTTGATAAATTTACAATTTTTGATATAAAGAAACCATTACATGACATAAGTATATTTTTCTGCAATAAGTATAACTGTATGTAAAAGAAGTCATGCAGGGGCAATGTTCACAGTCAGGATCTTAAGAGTTTCAAATTGCTAATAAGAATGTTTGTGAAGTCAAAAGAAACTGCAAACTACTTACTTCAAAATAAACCAATCCTGGAACTTCTAAAATTGAATTATTTTCTTTACATGGCATACAAAAATCCAAAACGGCAATATAACTTATTTACGCAAACACATTTGACCAAAATGAGGATTACAACTGCATTCACTAAAAGTTAAAATTTATGGTCCATGTACAAAAGAAGGGTAGGGTAGTCCTACATCAAATTTATTACAAGAAAATAATATAGGCTTCAGTTAAGACAATATATAATGAATTTTTTGATAAAGTATGGAAATTGTTAAATAATAAAAAAGACGTACAGTGATTTGAATTTTGCAGTTTTCTTATACCACCATCTTTAGAAGTTAAATGTTTTCAGCCTATTTGATCCACAATCTACAAATATATTAAAATACAAGTACAAAGACCACAGATAATACAGCCACACTTCGTATGATATATACTGTATATACCATTAGTGTTACTGTTAGCAATACTACTTATAATAGTACTATTACTAGTACGCCATATAACTATAAGTATAACGTTAATAATTCTATTCTCTATCTTATTCTAAAACTTGATAAAAATTAAGTTAGTTTAATCGTGGGTTAGTTATGTAACAATAAATATTTTGAGCTAAAAATAAAGTATTTACATTCTCGAAGGAAATACAGGGATACGATCTTTGGCGCTCATGTTTCGTCCTTTTTAAATTTTTATAAATATGATGGTAGTATAATTCCCAAAAACACTCTCCACCAGAAATCTGTTATTATTTCGTATTTGTTCGTTTATACTTTTTTTCAGAAACGAAGTACACCTATCACTGTCACACTATCTCCACTACAGTATCAATTTCTTGTTTCAACTAAAATCACATGAACAAATCGCATAAACTACAGTTCAGTGGACTAAATTACCAAATAGCGCCCTCTTTTTATGTTTATTTAATAAATGATTATGTTATTATTAACTTCCATAATGTTAATAAAAAAAAATAACTTGGGAGTTCCGTGTTCATTTTTAGGAAGTACCTCAGGGAGTCTCCCGATGATACAGCTGTAAGTCTACGAACTTACAACGCTAAAATCTAGGGTTCTATTCCTTGCGTGGACACAACAGATAGCCTAATATGACTTTGCTATAAAACAAACAAATATAACTTTAAGAATTGGTAGTTAGGCTTTTGCTTTTCTTATTTACATTAATGATAATTGATAGGGACATATTTAGCTAATTATTTTTACTTAAATAATAAGTGTAATGGAGTTGGGTTATCATAATTTGGATCACATGTTTAATATAGATGGAAACCTTCTCAATATCGTGACTGACACACACAAAAAAAAAGATTTTGGTGTGATAGTAGATCACTCAAGCAGTCAAAGCAGTGCTCTGTTGCTAATAGTAAAGCTCACAGAATTTTAGGTTGTATTTATACAGAAATTTGAGTGCATTACACTAAAATGACCTAGAATGTGAAAATAAGCAAGTTACGTGACAACCACAGCAGATATAACGCCGCAAAGGTGGCACATACATGGTTACTCAATGTAACCACGACAAGCAAAAAATACTTCAACTACTAAAACGTAAACCAAAATGACATTTTAAACACACTCTACATTAATGGCTCATACTTATCTGTATACAATAACAAAAGAAACCCTTTATATAAGTCGAAAATAGAACTGAACATAAACTCTTTACACAATATTAAAACCAGAATAAAACAAGCTCATTAGAACATACTTGAACATAATAAAATATACATTAACACATGCAAATTACAATTTTATATACTTATCAAAACATACATATATACACTATAAGCTAAGCCATTTATACCAATTTACCAGTTAGATAACAATAGACAAAACATTAACGTTTAATACTAGTAACACTAAAATATACACATATATACTTTACACGAATTAAGAACTTTAATTAAATAAAAAACAACAACATACAATAGGACAATTTAGTAAGGAAGCTGGAGTTGCTTATTTTTAGAAGGCCCAAAGGCAAATCTTCCAGTTCACCCATGCATCTGTGAAGCACCATTGTGATCTGGCAGATGATTTCCCCAATTCTAACAAGAGCCTTACAAGTTTGTACCAGATAACAGTGTTTGCCGCTCTTGTGGCTTCAGTAGATGGTCTTCTTTGCAGTTATGCAATGCTTAGGCTTCTGTCTAGGTGGCAGTGTTATTTTAAAACTGCAATTTGCGTGTGAGTCATTCTTTAATCTCGTTCAGGGCCTGGTGGGGGCTGCCATTTTTTTACCCCACCTCTGGAGCTCTGGTGCTGACGGTAGTGGTCGCCATATCAATCATCATTTCCATAGCCAATATATTGATGGTGGAATGCATGTGTTACGTCTCCAGTCGTTAGTTAATTTTCCGTAACTTCGTTCTGACGAAACTTTAGCGACACAAGTCCTTTCTTAATAAAACTGGTTTATTCTTTCTGAATATAACTTTGCGATACACTTAATTTCAACAGTCGCGCTATAACAAACGTCTCACGTGCTCGACTTCAACAATAATTCAATTACACACTCTCTGACGGCAGTTCAATTACTCACTGTCTCGTCGCTTCGTGGCCAGTCTTATATATACAAGACTACACTATATCTAGAAGAATCACGAGATTTAAGGAAAAGACGTGAATGTTCGAGAATGATGTGATACTAGTCACGTGACCTCGATGTCGTAACACTGCCCCCTCCTTAGTATTGTTCGTCCCCACTTACATAATAGCCACTTACATTAAACCAATAACAATAACCAAAATTTACAGAATTACAAACACAAAATTACAATTCAACAAAGTCTCTTAATTTTACGGGACGTATCTTCATCCGTACTGGTCTCCGTCTCGTTGGCTTCTGCTTCATATGGGGTTCATCTGCTTCATCAGGAAATGTCCGATCGTCGATAACAGTCACACCAGTGGTATTAACTTCATCAAGAGCTTCACCGTTTCCCTTCTCAAAACTGAGTAGAGTTTCTTCTTTGACAGTGGCTTCTTCAGGTGGCACGTCTTCAGCAGCGTCATTCGTTCTGTTGTCCACTTCGTTCCAACTGAAATGTCCTGGACCGTGATAACGCCAAAGCCTGTTGACATGCGCCACTTTTGGCTTACCTCGCCGACCACATTTTATCCGGAAAGTCACGTCTGAGAGACGATCCACTATGTCATATGGGCCTTCCCATGGAGAAGACAACTTAGGAGACTGCCCTTTGGTCTTATTGGGATTATACAACCACATCTTGTCTCCTGGTTCAAAGCTGACTTCAGAAGATCTCTTATCATAATATAACTTCATCGAATCAGCAGACATTTTCAAGCTTGAACGCACTTGATGGTGAATATCATCCATCCTTTCCGATAACACTTTCACAAACTCTGACACATTCTCAGGCAACTCTTCATAAGGTGGGCGTCCCTTATGCTTTGGTCCCCTTTTTGCACTACATATACTGCATGTCCTGCACCATTCTTCCACATCTCGCCTCATACCTATCCAGTAAAATCTTTGTCGTAGGTGACTCAATGTTTCCTTAACTCCGAGATGTCCTCCTGTTACAGTATCATGGGATTGACGCAACACAACTTCGCGTAACTTTTAATGGCTGGAGACGGCTTAAATGGGTAATGAAGAAAAACTTTAATATAAGTTTAACATGACAGCAAATGTACAACGTTTCGACAAGGTTTTGTTATCATCAGGTTCTTGGTATAACCGTTTGCCAGGTCGTCACTTTCCCATTTGCAGTTTCCCACCTCCGGAGAAGAATACCATCTGCAAGTTTCAACTGGTCCCATTGTGCCCAATAGTTCTTTGTCACAGGGCTTAGACTAGACACCTTCTCCTAAGCAGGGCGCAAAACACTTGCTTTTAAAAAATAATTATTGGCTTCAAATCTTG